GCTGTGCTCAGCTCCTTCCTGCTGCAGACCTGGGCTAGGACTGGGTCTGGGGGTTTCCGGAAATCGGCAGCAATTCCGGACCTGGGCTAGGACTGGGTCTGGGGGCTCCCGGAACTCGGCAGAAAATCCTACTTCTGTTTTTGCTTTTTAAAATAAAATAAAATTTAAAATAATTAAAGAGAAGAAAATAAAAATCAAATTTGTTGGTTTCTTTCCATTTATGGGCTTCACTTCTTAAGAGATAATCCTTTAATAATGCCTTGTGGTTAAGGTCTTCTGAGTAGTCTTCTAATATTGCAATTTTTACATATGAAATAGTAAACATTAGTTCTCTAAATAGAAACTGAGGACTCAAAACACTTGAGGTGTTGAATAGAGCACGTATTTCCCTCCTCTCCCTCTATCCCAGACCAGCCCCAAGTGTTATGTTTTTCCATGCACTATTCCATGTACTATTTTCCTACTATTGACTTATAGTTTAAAAACCTGAAGATTTATAGGTTGAAAATAGTCTTGCAGAAGATTCTTCTTCTTCTTCTTCTTTTTTTTTTTTGGTGGAAGCAGGGATTGAACTCAGGCCCTTGCGCTTGCCAAGGAAGCGCTTATTCCACCGAGCCATCTCCCCGGCCCCTCCATTTCTTAAAGACAAAGAATTCAGTGGTTTTTAGTGTTTTACAGTCATGCAACCGTTACTACTATCTTAGTTTTAGAAAACTTTTATCACTCTCAAGAAAAACTTCAAGGGGCCGGGAAGATGGCTCAGTAGAATAAGCACTTCCCTGGCAAGCGCAAGGGCCTGAGTTCAATCCCCGCTTCCACCAAATAAAAAAAGAAAAGCTTCAAAATCCATTAATAGTCACTCCCTGTTTTTTCCTCTTCCCAACCTTGGCAACCACTAATCTACTTTCTCTCTGTAGATATCCCTGTTCTGGGCATTTCAGCTAAATGCAAGTTTGCATAATTTCGGTGTATCTTAATGTTATAGCATGTATCAATAGTTCATTTCATTTTGTGGATAATATTCTTTTACATGTATATAACATTTTGGTTATATGCTCTTCAATTTATGGACATTTACTTTTTGTCTTTTGGTTATTGTGAATAACATAGCTATGAGTGCACTCAACTTTTTTTTTTTAATTTTTATTTATTTATTTGTGTGTGTGTGTGTGTGTGTGTGTGTGGCCAGCTCAGCCCACCAAGGGGCGGGGCTGGCTGGCATGTGGTGCTGGGGGATTGAACCACAGTCCCTGTGCTTTGCTAAGCTTGTTCTAAGTAGGTACTTTAGACCACTGAGCCATCTCACCAGCCCGTACTCAACTTTTTGTGTAAACATACATTTCTGTCCTTTTAGGGACATATGTAGGAGTTGAACTGCTAAATATTGTGAAACTCCCAAATTATTCTCCAAAGTGACTGCATCCTTTTGCATTGTTAGCAATCTATAAATGTTCTAGTTTTTCAGCACTGTTACTTTTTTTATTACAGGCATTTTTGTGGGAGTGAAGTGATTTGTTATTATGGGTTTTGATTTGCGTTGCTTTAATACATGCAGCTCAAACTCATAGTGATCCTCCTGTTTTCAGCTTTCCCAGCCCTGGGATTATAGGTATGTGCCACCATACCCAGATTAAGTGGTCGGTTTAGCGCACCCACGGTTGGGGCTGGTGTGGCATGTGGTGCCGGGGTGGAACTCCAGTCCCTGCACTTGCCTAAGCAGGCACTTAATCTACTGAGCTATCTCACTGGCCCTAATATTGGCATTAGAGAATCAACTCTTTTCTATATTTGGAAGGGTTTCTTCATTCAGTGGTAGATACCTCAGGAAAGCCTTCTGGGCATGAGCTTATATCTCTGTGAGACTTTCAGTTCAATCTCTTTTATTTGTTAAATATTCAGACTTATAGATAGATATTTTTAGACATAAATAGATTTGTTACCAATGTGGTTGAATTTTATGTTTTTTCATGTATTTTATTTATTTTTTGTTACTGAGAATTGAACTTGAGACCTTGCACTTGCCAGGCAGGTGCTTATGCTGCTGAGCTGTATCTCCAGCTTGTCATTTATTTTAGCTTGTGTCTTTCTAGGAATTTGTCCATTTCATTAATTATTGCATACAATTATTCATAGTATTCCTTAGTAACCTTTTTTTTTTCTGTGAAATTAGTAGTGATATCTTCACTTTTACTCCTTTTTATTTTTAACAATACATTAAATTGTGCACATTAATAGGATGTTACATAGTGTTTTTCTTTGTTTGTTTTTTGAGAACCAGGGATTGAACTCAGGCCCTTGCGCTTGCCAGGGAAGTGCTTATTCCACATTACATAGTGTTTTGATACATGTATACATTATATAATGTTTAATTTCAGATAAGCATATCTATCACCTCAAGCATCATTTACAATAAAGTCACTCAAAAATCATTTTTTTGGCTTAAAAAATCCAGTATGTTATTATCATCTATAACCAACTTTTGTTTCTAATTTTATTAATTTAAGTCTTATCTCTTTTTGTCAGAGTAGCTAAAGATTTTTTAAATTTTGTTAATCTTTTCAAAGAACTACTTTTTGATTTCACTGATTTCTCTGTCATTTTCTGTTGTGTTTTATTAATTTCCACCATCTTTTTTCCATTTCCTCCTACTTATTTTAGTGTTAGTTTGTAGCCTTGGCTGGCCTCCTAACTCATTGATTTATCTGGGAGTGCTGGTGTTAACAGATGTGTTCTACCAGGTAGGGCTAGTTTTGCTTTATTTTGTTTTATTGTGTTGTGTTTGTGCTGGGGATGGAACCCAGGACCTTGTCCTTCTGTGTTGTACTGCTGAGCTATACTCTTAGCCTCTTGTAAGGCTTTTTCTGTTTTGTTTTCATTTCAACCGTCTTGAAGTATTTTGTAATTTTCTTTATAATTTTCTATTTGGCCACTCATTCCAGAGTTTTGTTTAATTGCCACTTTGTGAATTCCCCACATTTTCTTCCATTATTAAATTCTAGTTTCATACCATTGTGGTTGGAAGCATATTTGTATGATTTCAGTCCTTTTACGTTTGCCAAGGTTTTTCCAATGGCCCAACATGTGGTCTCTGTTGGCAAATATTTCAAGTTTACTTAACAAAAATGTATGCTCTGCTATGGTTTGGTATAGTGTTCTGTGTGTAACCGTTGGGCCTAATTGATTTATAGTGCTTTCATTTCTTCTGTTTCCTTATTGCTTTTGTCTAGTTGTATCCATTATTGAAAATGTGGTGTCGATGCATCCAAATGTTATGTATTATTCTTTCAGTTTTATTTTGTGAATTTATGAACTGTTTTCAGTGCATGTTTTCCTAATTGTTGTATCTTTCTGCTGTAATGACCTTGCATTATTATAAAATGGCCTCCTTTATCTGAAAGAATATTTGTCTGAATTACCATAACCATGCTAGCTCTCTTTGATTTTTAAAAAAATCATTTATTTATTTATTTACTTATTTATTTGGTACAGGTCTTGCTGCACAGCTTGGACTCATGGTTTCTGTGGCTGGTATGGCACACCTAGGGCAGGGCCGGCACGGTGTGCGATACCAGGGATCAAACTTGTGTCCTTGCGCTTGCCAGGCAGGCATTTATGCCACTGAGCTATTGCCCTAGCCCAAGTTCTTTTTGATTTTAGTTTTCAGGATGCATCTTTCAAACTTTTATTTTAAACTTGTTTGCTTCTTTGAATCTATAGTGTATCTCTCTCTCTCTTTTTTTTTTTTAAATGAATTTAGGGCCGGGTCTACAGGGTGCATAGGGTCTCACTACATAGATCAAACTCATAGTGATTCTCCTGTTTTCAGCCTCCCAGGTGCTGAGATTACAGGCACACATGCCACCACGCCCAGTCTCAAATCACCATTTTAGCATGCCCTAGGGGCAGGACTGGCACCACAGTTCAGGGATCGAACCCCAGCCACTGCGCTCTGCCTAAACAGATGCTTTAGATAGGTGAGCTATCTGGCTGTCCCTTCTCTTCTTCTTCTTCTTCTTTTTTTTTTTTTTGGTGGAACCAGGAATTGAACTTAGGCACTTGTGCTTGCCAGGGAAGCACTTGCTCTACTGAGCCATCTCCCCAGCCCTTTCTCTTCTTTTTTATTTATTTATTTATTTGTGTGTGTGTGTGTGTGTGTGTGTGTGTGTGGCCTGCTCAGCCTACCAGGGGGCGGGGCTGGCTGGCATGTGGTGCTGGGGGATTGAACCACGGTCCCTGTGCTTTGTTAAGCTTGTTCTAAGTAGGTGCTTTAGACCACTGAGCCATCTCACCAGCCCCCCTTTCTCTTCTTGATAGTGTATAAATTTTCAAAAATCTGTTCATGTCTGCCTTTAATGGGAGTGTTACAGTAACCCCTTAATTTATAAGACTA